ATCTTGTTATTCTAAAAAAAAAAAAAAAAGAGTTGAAATATACAATCTAAAAAAGAGATCTTGATAAACTTTTCACAAACAATAGAAAAACTAAATTAGAAACTATAGGGGAGTATTTTTAGATGAACAAGTCACAAACCTATTAGAAGAAATCGATTATAGAAAACTAATTAATAATTTTGCATCTCAAAAAGTTATAAAATAAATCCTAAATAAAAATATCTATTAAAATTATTACTGAAGGGCCTCCAATTAAAATTTGGCCTTAGGCCCCAAGTGTTGTTGAGCCGCCTCTGATAAAATCTGTCAAGATGCTTAAGTTGACCTTTTAGTCTTTTTCTTTGCTCTTCATCTAGTTTCCTAGTTTCCAAATCTTACACTCTGGAAAAATTTTGATCATATGACTCTCTTCTGATCAACATTGATTGTTAAGATGATGGACCTTAGGGCTTCTCAATCCCAACGTTGACAACTCTCTGGTTTAAGGCGGTTCATGAGGAGAAGTTTGCCCAAGATTATATAAGGAGACAACATCTCATTCACTCAACCAATGCAAGATATTCTAGTAACCCCTCACGTGTTCAGGATTTGAGATTTCGAGGGTATGCAATAATATAAGAACCTAACATTGGGTAAACTAAGAATAGGAATATGTCTTGCTCGGATATCCTGGGATTTTCAACTCCAAAAGTTAGTTCACGAGGCGTGGACCGTCCTAGCCAATATAAGGAGGCAACAACCCATTCCCACAATCAATATGAGACATTCTAAAATTGATAAAGTTGCCTCCCATTCAAAGAGGCATTAGAATGTGAGTACAAGTTAGCAAACCTGGCTGTTGCAGCCTCATCAGAAGCATGATACCTTCTCAGGAGCAAAACAACAACCACAGCTACAATTTCATAGAAGATCCTTACTTTCCACTCAGGTTGCTTCCCATCATCTTTCTGCGGCCAAAACTGGAACAGCTCTTTGAGTGTTGCCTCCTCGGCAAGAATGTTTGGGAAAAACCAGACACAGCATCCAAGAAGAATCCAAATAGCACAAAAGACCATGGCTCTCACTGCAGGAATCAACGTATTCTTTTTCATAAGCATAAATATCTTCTTTGTAATTGCAATAACTCAAATAGTAGGATTGCGAAGATACACTAGACAAAACTAGATGAGCATGACATGAACAACTCAGGACAGGGGCGAAGCCAGAAATTTCCTCTATGGTGTTCAGACTTGAAAGAAGTAAAAAAAATTATGACAGAGGGTGTCCAATATATTTTATATATATATATATCTAAAATCTAATATTTTACTTATATACACAGTGTAATTTTTTATAATATTTCGGCGAAGGGTGCTAAATTGACCACCCTCAGCAAAAGGTAGCTTCACCCCTGGCTCAGGGACGCAATTGTACAACTGACACAAACACACATGGACAAATACTAAGAGAAAGACTTTAAGCAAGAGTGCTTCTATCCATCAGCTTAAGTTTCAACCTCCTATTTAAAACATTTCTTGCCTAGACTATTCAGAATCAGAAGTACCAGAACTATCTTAGTTATGCTTCTGTACTATCATGAAAAAAACTACGAGGACCTTCTAGTTGGTAAAAACTTCACCTGTGGTTATACTCAACTTCATTTATTTATCTAAAAAAGAACTATTTTTCATTGTTTGTCATAGAAAAAAGGCAAAGGAATGTAATTACCTTAAGCAGAAGAATGAAAAACATGATATAAGGAAAATTTCTTCATAAGGGAGCACATAGGGAGTACTAACTTAATATCCCCTTACCTCTTTTCCTATACATCTGATAATATTTCAAAGCTGATTTTGTAATCACAAAGTTCACTCAAGCCGACATCCTAAAACTATTGCTTTAGTCATTTTGATAAAGTATTTGGTTTTTGTGTGACATATAAAAGCAGCTAGCTCTTTTACTTTATGAGAAAAAATGGCAGTGGTGCACTAAGCTCCCACTATGCGCAGAGTCCGGGAAAGGGCTGGACCACAAGGGTCTATTGTGTACCTTGCATTTCTGCAAGAGGCTGTTTGCACGGCTCGAACCCGTGACCTCCTGGTCACATGGCAATAACTGTTAGGATCGGGAACTCGGGTAGTGCGGAATTTAGACAAACAACGGTATAATGACAATAACAAAGACAATAAAATTTGATAACAACGACAATTAAAGCATATAAAGAAGACACAAATTTAACGTGGTTCGGTCAAAGTGACCTACGTTCACAAGCGGAGAGGAGCAATTTCACTATACCAACAAGAGTACAAAAGAGAAGAGTACAAAATTAAAATAAATACTCTAATTAATCTCAAATGCCCTAAGAGAATAACCTCACAAGCTCATTCCAAAGAAAGGGTTCACACAAGTGTTTCTCAACACTTGACTCTCATACAAAACACTTTTAATAAAGGAGGAAAGGAAGAAACAAGAAATGAAGATTCAAATCTTGTTGGTGTATCTAAAATGAACTAATGACTTTCCCTTTTATAGGCAAAAAAGTTTTGGCCTCTTAGGTGTAAAAAGAAGAGATACAACTTGTGCAAATGATGTCCATCACACAATGCAATATTTTTGGGTCCCAAAGAATATTGCCAACAAAGTCTACACTTTGCAAAGATGTTTATGCTTATGTGAGATGAACTCCATTAGCCAAAATATTGACCATAATTACAGCAACTTTACCAGTTACGCCAAGGTTCCGCTTCGTAAATCTCTAACATCAGATTTTATGGTCACATCGTGTTGCATCATAAATCTCTAACATGAGAAGGAAATGCGGCTAATAACAACAGATCTGTGAATGAAACTGAAATAAGCACCAGAAACTTACACAGAAGTACGCAAAGTATAAGAAGGAGGACACCAGCACACGGGTAGAATATAAGCAGTTTGACCTGATGGGGGTACTGTCACGATCCAAAAATTCCACCACAGGCGTCATGATAACACATAGTCTCTAAAATTAGGTAAGCCAATTTCAATTACCTTTTGAAGCCATTTTTCTTTTTGAAACTAACAGCGAAAATAGTTACAATATACAATCTCCTAAGACTGGTAGTACTGAATCACGAACTCTAACTGAATACATGGAATGATCACGAAGACCCAATATACAATACTGTTTGATTACAAATTAACAGTACAATGAAATGAAAAGACTCCAAAGGATTGCGACGGCCAAGCAGCTCTACCTTGAATCCTTACGATCCTACTTTAACTCTGCTCAAGTCCGATATCTCCAATACCTGGTTCTGCACAAAAATATGCAAAAGTGTAGTATGAGTACACCACGATCGATACCCAGTAAGTATCAAGACTAACCTCAATGGAGTAGAGACGAGGTATAATCAAGACACTCACTGGTCTAATAACCTGTGCAATATAATATACAAAATACTAGGAAACAGATAGCAACAAGGACAGGATAAAACAACCAGTGTTATGCGCAGCAAGACAACAAGAATACCATAAATATCACTCAACAATTAATAAATACATGTACGCACAATTAATTCAAGTTTTTCCAATAAATATCCTTCACATAAAATTCTTCCAAACAACTCTCTTTTAAAAGTAGTTTTCTCAAATAATTATTTTTCAAATATAATTCTTTTTGAATAAAAATCCTTCCAAATAAATATTTTGAATATAATTCTTTCAATTAAAAAGTCACCATGTGACACCTCATTTCATAATCATAAAAATACGGGTCTCAGCCTATTTTCATATTTTTCGTAAATACGGGTCTCAGCCCATTTTCATATTTTCACGGCACCTCGTGCCCATAATTAAATCATCATATTTTCCCGGCACCTCGTACCCTCATTTCATATCACAACTGAACGGACAATTCACATGCCAATTATCATTATCATTTCATCACAGCACCCCGTGCCCACATTTTATATCACAACTGCACGGACAATTCACGTGCCAAATATCCTCATTATTTACTCACGGCACCTCGTGCCCACATTTCATTTTATAATCCGCTTAGCCATAGGCCATAGGCTCTCAATTTCAACATAAATAAGATTGTTATCAATTTACCAACAACAAGACAAATTGCACAAGGTATAAAAATAAACACAAGAAAATCACAACATCACATAAAAATCATCAACACCATAACTCCACATCATCACATATCGTCCCTGGCAATAGCCACCCTTATCGCTCCTATTGCCACCCTTATCGCTCCACCCAGACAATATCAATAGCCACTCTTATCGCTCCTATTGCCACCCTTGTCGCTCCTATTGCCACCCTTATTGCTCCGCCCAGACAATATTTTAACAACACAACAACAGTGGAATGCTACCCTTATACCTACATAATATCAACGGTGAAATGTCACCCTTATCTCCTCAAAATAATAATTCACACAACACAACAATTTACACTGCAACATAACAAAATCAATTCACATTACAGTTTGCTCAATGAACACAACAAATTTCAAGGATATAACAAAATTAATTAATTTTACAACAAATAGCCAAAGCTCCACACAATGTGTACAACACCCAGAAACAACCAATAGAGATAGAAATTACTCAACACAAAGCAAAGTCTTCATTAAATTCAAATTTTTAATAATTATATAAGCACCTCTTCTTAAGCTCATTTAATTAATTATTTGCAGAGAGAAAATCCATAATGAAATTAAATTAATATAATTATCAAACCAACAAATTCACAGAATTACATAAATAATCAAGTAACAATCACAACAAATTGTCATATAACAACAGATTCAACAACAACGAGGATTTAGGCACGACAAATAGATGATTAAATATATACCAACAATTACCCAATTTACCACACAATATGCTCAAGACTTTAACTCAATAAAAATTTACATATATAAGCCGAGTACGTACTCGTCACCTCGCGTACACGGCTTTTCACGTTTCATAAATGACACATAAGACTCGATGTCTAAGGGGTAATTCCCTCACTCGAGGTTAAACAAGACACTTACCTTTTTGAAGTTAGACCGATATTCCAAAATAGCCTTCTTGCTTGAATTGACCTCCGGACAGCTCAAATCTATCCAAATTAATTGTACAACCTTCATTAAAATTCATCAAAAATAATTCCGGATAATAATACGCCAACTTAAAATTTTATTCCAAAAAGTCAACAAAAGTCAACGCGGGACCCGCCTCTCGGAACCCGACATATTTTTCATAAAATCCGAACACCCATTATGATACGAGTTCAACCATACCAATTTTATCGAATTCTAATAACAAATCGACCTCCAAATCTTAAATTTAAACCAAGAGGGTTTTCTAAATTTTTCAACCCAATTCACTAATTTAGTGACAAAAATAATAATAGATTAATGTAATTTAACCAAAATCAAGTTAGGAATTCTTACCCCCAATGTTTTCCTTGAAAAACTCTCGAAAAATCGCCTCACCCGAGCTTCCTTAGTCCAAAAATGAAAGAATGACATGAATTTGGACTTTATTCTGGTGCCCAGAGGTTTGTTCTTCGCGTTCGCGAGACTCCCCTCGCGTTCGCGATGAACAAATTCTTCAAAAGTCATTTTCAAACTCTTCTCAGACAGCCTCTAGCATAATGGTCATAACCTTTTGTACAAAACTCCAAATGATGAATGGTTTGACTTTCTGAAAACTAAACTCCAAGGGCTATAACTATCATTTGTTGCTCATCTTCAAATTCCTTATAAATTACGAGATATAAGCTTCCAAAATCAGCCCTATGCAATAGAGATTTCCAAACTCTTCTCGGACAGCCTATAGTGTATAAACCATAACATTTTGTACACAACTCCAAATATCAAATGGTTTACCTTTCTAAAAACTAAACACAAAGGGCTACAACTTTTATTTTTGGATCATCTCCAAATTCCTTATAGATTGCGAGATATGAGCCTCAAAAATCAGACGACGAATAACAAAATTTCCTTCTTCGCGAACGCGAAGAACAAAGTCCCAACAGCAAAATCCTTCTTCGCGAACGCGAAGAACAACACCAGAACCAGCAACCAGCAGCATCAAAACATTCAAACTTGGTCCGGAACCACCCCAAATCAAACCCGAGACTCCCGGGACCCAGTCCAATCGTACCAACTTGTCCCAATACATAACACGAACCTGCTCGAGGTCTCAAATCACATCAAACAACATCAAAGCCACGAATCATACCCCAACTCAAGCCTAATGAACTTTGAAATTTCAAACTCTATATCTTGTGTTGAAACACATCAAATCAATCTGGAATGACTTCAAATTTTGTACACAAGTCATAATTGATATAACGAAACTATTTTAATTTCCAGAATCGGATTCCGACCCCGATATCAAAAAGTCACCCCCGGGTCAAACTTCCTAAAAATTCATCTTTCGCCATTTCAAGCCAAATTCCTCTACAAACCTTCAAATAATTTTTCGGACACGCTTCTAAGTCCATAATCACCATACGGAGGTATTGACATCATCAAAATTCCATTCCGGAGTCGTCTTCGTACAGTTCCGACTACGGTAAAAATTCTAAGACTTAAGCTTGCGTTTTGGGGACCAAGTATCCCAAATCACTCCAAATCATCCGGTAACTGAATTCAATCACACACGCAAGTCAATACACATAATAAGAAGCTGCTCAGGGCCTTATGCCGCTAAACGGGACTTAAATTCGTAAAATAACAAGTCGGATCGTTACAGGTACACAAGAAAGAAGCAGATTGCTAATGTCAAAAATGGCCAGAAGAATGAGAGAAGTGTTTGCCACAGGGTCCTTCTTTTGACAAATGTCCACGCGAAAAAGGCGTCATCTTCAGAAAATACTTGATACTGCATACATAAGTGAAGAAACATAAACTCAGAAACTGCAAGAAAACTATGTAAAATGCGTTACTCTAAGGGGTACAGAAATAGGAAATCGGCAATAGCTTATTAATCTTTACTACTCAAAAGTTTCATTGAAACACTCTCCAATTTGCTAATATCATTATTAATCTTTAGTGTATATTCTCTCCATAACATAATTTCCACTGACCAACCAAATACCAAGAAAATAGAATCATTTTCCAAGAATAAATATTTTCTATGGAAAATGACTTCCATCACACCAAACGCACTTTGAATTCCGAAAGGAACTCACATCATAAATCTCTAAATGTGAAGGAAAAGCGGACAATTTCTTCTTTCCAGGCCGGACAGATTTTACCACACGATCACACCGGACTAAAAGTTTCTTCTTAAGCAGAATGTTGGCAATATCTTCAGGTTCCAAACTTCTGTCTGACTCGAGTATGTCATTCAGTTCTGAATGATTCCTCATAAAACTAACAAAATCTTTTCCTCCGAAATACTCTACTCGTATTTGTTAGTCCCACCAATATTATTGTATTTGTAAATAATAATTCTGCAAAATATAAGTTATCATAATGAAACAGTAATTAATTCGAGCCCACTGAATTTACAGTATTTCCTTAAGGAATTTAATCCCCTCTTAGTACCCAAGGTAATGGATTATTTCCTCCCAGGATAGAACGAATCACACACTGGTGTAGCGGTATTTCAAACCCCAGTGTTTCAGCGAACACAAAGTTCGGTAGCAAATCACACTTACAGTTGCTTTGTTAGAAGTTAAAACAATGCAGAACGAAGGAGTAGATACTCAGAAAATCGTATGGAAATGCTGAGAAGAAGGAGTGCAATGTATAGCCAAATCTGTTGAGCGATTTCAGTTTATGTCTTGTGTGTTGTGTGTCTTTCTTCAACAGCTGCTGCACATATATATAGCAGTCAGTGTTGAAGAAGAACCATCGTCCACCCTTCATGGTGGAGCAAGCATTAGCTTGTTTGTGGAGCAAGCACATTCATGGTGGGAAGAGCATTAGGCGGCTGCCTTGTGGTCAATACACGGATTGGAAAATATCCGTTACAAATGCAGATAATCTTACGTTAATATTTACTATTAACAAATAAATTTGGTCCAAAAAATTAATCAATCAATCGATCATTTGACCAAATCCAAATCCAAA